AATTAGATCAAGAGGTGGAAGCCAAAGCCACATACGGGGAAAGCAAATGACATGGGGTCCTACCTGGGCTCTGAATTTACCAGGTTTTAACCAAGAACACCCAGACACTGCTATGTCTGGCAATTTAGAGACATGTATTTAGAATTTAAGGCCAGAAGGGACTTCTTTGACCTTCTGCATAACACAGGCCATAACACTCCACCCAGTAATTTCTATAGTGAAGGGACTTGTTCTTCACTGCTGTACATCTGAACATTATGAAACCCAGTAACTTATAGATGAACTGCAGCATGTCCTTCAGAAATGCATGCATTCTCAATTTAATGCTGTCAAGTGAGGATGAATTTCCTTCTTCCCTGGACAAGCTATTCCAATGATTAACAACATATCAGCTAGGCTGACAGCTGAAATCTCACCCTTGTGGCTTTATTTTCTTCTATTAGTTGCTTTCAGGGGGGAAGATGCCAAAATTGTATGTATTTGTGTGCATGAAAGCAAAGGACTCAGGGCAATCACTATTCTACCTTAATGCATGAAAAACTGGGACTTATATTCACAGCTATAGGAATTTTCAAAAGTTTTGTTGAACAAATTTTGAGGCAGAAAATCCCCCCAAATCAACTCCCTTTCAAGGACAACCTCAGTTTCCTTCTGCTTCATATCTCCCATATCTCTGGGCAATTTCCTTCCTTCAGCTTTTGTGCTTTTCTTCATTTCTAACTTTTGCTTCAACTTATTTAGCTCACTGTTGCACTTCAAAACACATGCAAGAAAAAAAAAGAGTTTGATGTTGGGCCTCTCTCTTAATGAGCCTACGAGATCATCACTATATCAACTTTATATCCTGTCTTGGAGTCTCAAAATGTTTGTTCTGTCTGATAAGATAAATTCAAGTGCAGAGAAGCTCTTTGAAGAAAATCTCCTGTCTAGCCTTTTTTCTAATTTCTTTTTTAGATAAGGTCTAGTTTAATATTTATATTGTGTGATGAAGCAGAGTATTAGTAACAATCCATCACAACATCTGTAGCCTATTTTTCCTCGGGTAAAAAAAACCTGAAGAACGTTCAGTAGCTACCATTATCACTGTATCTTAGCAAAGACTGTCCCAGGGAGCCTCCAGAATGTCAAAGGAACAGAAAGAGCGAGATCACGGTAGACCACTTGGTGAGACCTGGTGCCCCCCCAAACTCAGGAGGGGCCAGTCACCCATGCCCCTACCTGACCCCATTAGTTATAAACAATGGCAAGTTCGAACCACATATTAAGGCCTCCGACCACAGCATGTTCTAAACAATGGGTTGTCAAGATGGGAACATGCTAATTTAATTTTTAGCCAATTATATCATTGCTTTATGTAAAGTTCAGCTTCTTTGTGCACGATAATAAAGAGACAATGTTGTGCTCCGTTACTTTTGCCTCTCCATTATTGTGTAGATCAAAAAAAAAAAAAGAGAGAGAGAACTCATAACTCAGCCCTTGACTAGCTTGGATTCCAGAAAATTTGAAGCTGATGTACAATGACAATGACTAGCTGCTTTATGCTACAGCTGTACCACACACTTCCTCCCAGCTGTGTAAGCTATGAGAACATACTAGGGTTTCCCCAAGACCAAAGGTAGCAGTGAGGAAAAAACATGGAGCAACGGCTCTCCATGCCTGGCAAATACTTGAACTGCAGTGGGTTGTGGCTGCAAATATACTCCCTTTATTTAGCACACTGTGGGATATACCAGTACATAATGTTTGATGCATGGGGTTCTTTATATGAACTGCAATAGTCTCCTGATAAATGAAAACTGCAGTCTTAATTTTCCTTAGTAGACAAGAAGCACTTTCTGTCACCATAGGAATAATTCATCTACACAGCATATGTATGGGATAGGCACTGCTCCCATTTTAGAGAGAGGGAACTTGAGGCAGAGATGGTAAAAGGTTTTGGCTGAGCTGTCACACCATCATGCACTAACTCAGGAGCAGAAATGGAACTGAAATGTATAAGAAACAGGTACCCAGCTGTGAGCTCACTCAAAGACCAGCTCTTTGGAGTAGCAAATTATAGACCTTCATTATGGCTGTCCACACTATAGTTGCTGGTTGGAGTGTTTTATATAAAAGAAAAAACTTTAAATTTGATTCTGCCGGTATTTCATCCTGAAATCAGCACTGGATTGGGGGTAGGAATGCCATTGTCAAGAATTCCCTTTGGTCTAAAAAGTATAAACATCAGCCTCCCGCCCCTTTCTTTTTAATTCAATAATTAGGACCAGAGCCTGGAGATAAATAGCAACTGCCCTCCAACTTCTGAGTCACTGCACGCCACTGAAAGTAACTGTAGACTAACCATAAAGGCCTGTAGGCAGCAATTAATCTAAGTGCAAATCTATGCATAAAGATTTAAAACACAAATAGGGAAAAACATTTGCCATATCTCATGCTTTAAATTTGATTTCTGTTCACAGTTACTTCCAATTACTGTGGAGCTTTGAGCACCACATCAGGAACAGGATGCCATTGTCCTAGGTGTTGCCTGCAGAAAAAAAATGAAAAGTCCTTGTTCCACAGGCTAGGGACAGAAGTTACAAATAAAATGGTTTAAGTGGTCATAAACTGGTTTAAACCTGTAACAGAACATAAGTTCAGTGCACATAAACCAGTTTCAAAATGGCCAAAACTGGTTAAGGTAAACTTGGTTGAATATAGTAACAGACTTAACTGATTTGGGTCAAACTGGTTTAGGGAACATCTGCCCCAGACCCCTTCCTGTTTTAAGTTAAATCAGAGTCCCCCAGCATCCCAGCATGCTTTTCAGCCCTGGGCTGGGCTGGGCTGGGCTGGGCTGGGCTGGGTTGTTTGCTCCAGAGAGCAAGGCTGGCCCTGCCCCTCTCCTCCCTAGACGGAGCTCCAGCTCGTTGAGAAGGAGGTGGAGACTGCAGCTGGGAGACAGCAGTGTCTTCCTGGCATTCCCCTGCCCCACCCTCCCCTCACCACTCACTGCTCAAGCAGGAATGCCCCCCCACCCTCCTATAGCACGGACCCTAGCGACACAGACCCCAGCCACCAGCCGGCATCTGGTCATGGCCGTGCCATCCCCATGCTAGCTAATGCTGAGAGGTGTCTATGTGTGTGTGTCTCCAATTTCATTGACAAAGGCAGATGGATGGTGTCCACTTAGAACTTTTAGGAACTAACCCAAGTCAGCTGGTAATGTCCCTCTGTTCTTTCTTAAAATGCTTAAAATGCTTTGCAAAAAGCTGTTTAAGAAGAGCTTGAACTAATAAGAGAGAGACTTTGTTTCCTTGAAGGGTTGATAAGCTTTGTGTTCTGATAAGCTCCCTGCTGGCTGCTAGCTTGCTGTCAGTGTTCAACAGGGGACAGAGAGAGGTGTGAGAAATGACCTGGTTTGCAATGAATGCAGTGCCTGTCGGTTTGCTTCAGATAGTATGAAGAAGCAGGGAGAGGGAGATTGAAAAGCTCAGTATCATCAACAGACGCATGCACTGCATGCAAGCAGTCCTCCCTCTCTGCCCCCCAACTTTGCCTCAGAGTGCTAGCCGGGGGCCAGCAATACTCCCTGACCCTTGAGCAGCAAGCATGGGGGGAAAAGCCTGGAGGGGGCTGCTTCCCCCTCCCCTTCCAGCTACACCCTGGCTGAGGACTGTGCAGACCGGGGTGGGGGTTTAAACCTCATTGTGGAAGGGAAGGGAGGGCTGCTCTAGCACCCCCCAGCTCCTAGCTTGAGCCACTACAGGTATGTGCCTGCATTTCCTGAATCAAAAGTGAATGTCTATCCACTTGCAAATCAGTTCAATCTCTGCAGGTTAGACTAACCCACAAAGACTGAATCAATTCAGGCTTGGGCTTTTTGAATGTCTGTCCCTAGCCACAGATTCTGTCATCTCTAACAAGGAGCAGTCATGGAAAATGAGCAGAAGCGCATGGGAAGCATACATAGAGCAGGGGTTCCCATAGGTCAGTTCTTGTGCACAGCAAAGGAGTCTCAAGCTTTGTTATTAATTTTTAATTTAGAAATAAACTAGTTTCCATTTACACTATTTGATGGGAAATTAGTTTCTGCTGAAACAAATATTTACACAAAAACTGTCTCCTTTTATGAAAAGCTTTGACTTCTTGCCAAAAAGAAATCCAGAAAATCCCCTCCTTGGTTTTTGGTTTTTCAGTAAAAAGTTAATATTCTCCAAAGAAATATTCTGGTTGAAGTTTTATGCAGAAAACTATCCATTTTCCACCTACTTCAATAGAAAAAAAAGTAAGAGAAAAAATATCCAGTGCTCCTTCCTGCCCCTCAGGTTAATGTCAATTTTTAAGTCATGAATTTTCTAAAACCTTACAGCAAGTTCCTGATTCCTGCCTCTCTGTCAGAGATCACTTCACATCACTTCAAAAAAATGAGGATTCTGGTTGGTTTCACTCTCCTCCTGTCAGCAAAGGACAAGACAGATGGCGGGAGAGAGGAGAAAAGTTTTCACTCTAAGGAAGACAAGCTACATTGTACCTTTTGGATGGCACATGAGGTTTTATGAAGAGGCAGTTTTGGGGCAGGCAAGGCTGACAAAGAAATAGGAACAGATGTTCAGTGCTTTGGGCTCCCACTCCTTGAGCAGAGCTGTCTCCTGGGAAATGAGGAAAGGTTTAGTTGAGATTTCTGGAAAAAGGGAATGCCTGGCAAATGTGTGATCAACTTATATTGGCATTAGCATACATGAGTAAGTGAAGCAAGCAACCATTGAAACATAACCATACTCCACAACATTCATTTCTCCTCCACTGAAGGACCTGATATACAAAGCCCCTGACATTTGGTATCACCCAGCAGGGCTCATCTTTGGTGCAGAAATGAACACGGGTGCCATGAGGAAGGACAAGAACATACTTCACCAGTTTCTTAAGTTTCTCAGGCCAGCAGGACACATCAGATAGACACAGTAGACCAGCAGCAATGAAACAAAAAGCCCCTTGTCCAGTTTTTATGCATTTCTTACCTTCCCTTCAAACCTGGCTGTGCTGCCCAGCTGCACCCGGATGTTTCTGGGAGGCAGAGTGAACGCAGGAGCTTCTGTAGGGACAGAGGGGCTGAGGGGCGAGGGCTCCAGAGTCAGGGAGGTTTTGGAGATTCGAGCTGATGTCACCAGTTTTACATCCCCCATGATCAGAGCTTTCAGGAGAGAAAGAAAGAGATACCAGAGGTAAAATATAAGCTACTATTATTGATTATCTATGTTATAGTAGAACACTGAAGTGCAGGCCTGATTGTACTAGGTGCTGTGTTTATACGTAATAAGAAACAGCCTCTGTGCCAAGATGACAAATATTACTTTTCCCTTTTTACAGATGGGGAGCTGAAGCCCGGAGAGATGAAGTGACTTGACCAAGTCACACAAATAGCAGCACAGCCTTGAATGCAATCCAGGTCCCAGTCCAGGGTCTTGCTGACACAATCACCTCCCTCAACCCTAACAGAATTGCAACAGCTCACTTAAAGAGGATATTTTTACAATGTGACTTCTTAATTTCCTTGGCCTGGATTGCATGAAGATCAATAGGTTTTAAAAGCACAGCCAGTGTTGAACAAGTACTTCTGAAATAGAGAGAGCTCTGTTTGCCTTGGATTTAAGTTACATATGTGAATGTGGAAAGTCTGATTTTTCATACCAAAGAAATATCTGCCTCTTTCTCTCCAAAGGAAAAGCGCTGTAGGGACACAGGGGATGCTTGCTTTGCAAGCATTCCAAGTCTCTGACTTTCTGAAAGTCCATCTGCAGCCTGGGCAGGAGGAAAAGCCAGAAGATCAAAAGGCTAGAGGCCTGCATGCAAAACAGCTACTGAAATGGCTTCTTTAAGAGGTTCACCTTATGGACAGTAACTTCAAAAGCAACTCTGTTATGTCTGTGCTTTTCCCACTGGCCCACTGTGGAGAGAACAGAAACCATACTGAGCAGGCAGGTATTACTGGCATTTCAGCAGTACTTGGGATTGCCAGGGCCCCATCCTGATGCCAGAACCCATCACACCATTGGGAAATGGAGTTCCTGCCCCAGAATGCTGATGATATACAGTAATAGGATGCACTGGGCCGAGTAAGTGTTGGAGGGAGGAGGTGTTAGCTTGTCCAGGGCTACAGTTGATCAGTCTCCTGAAGAACACAGAACTATTCAGGTGTCCAAATCATAATCTGGTATCCTACCCCTTACAGTAGGACTCTGCATTTCTAGATTTGTTTCTGGTATCAGATATCACACTTTTACATGCTTCCACACTGCTCCCAAGCCTCGCAAAGGAACATACAACACAGAAGCTGCCTTTGGTTGTATGCCTTATTGGTCAAGCTTTAAAGAGGCATGAGGTTGAAAGCTAGTTATTTGAGGAACACAAGTGGCGCTTCATTATTGCATCGACCTCTGCCAATTTTTTCAGTTATACAATCCCATTTTCTTCTTTTATCTTGACTTTGGGTTTTCAGGTCCCCTGCTGCTGTGTGAAATATTTATAAAAACAGAGAGAAGTAACTAAATTGTGCAAAGGAAACAGTAAGAGACACACTTTGCAAAGTACAATCCAACACAAAACCAGATGGGGACAGAAAAAATAGAGATGAGATAAATATTTTCCTCTCTAATCTCTTTCAGCTACCATGTCTTAGGAGCTACTCAGAACACCAACAGGTAAGAGTCCTCTGGACAGAAGTGTGATTTGGACATTGCTCATTTCCATTTGCCATGGTTTTCCTGGCTACTGAAGACAGGAATTAACTGTGCTATAAACAGTTCTGCAACAGCTTGCTTCAAGATGGGGGTGGGAAAGAAGGAAGAATCTGGAGCATCACTTGCTAAGGCAGTTTAAAATATGGTTCTTCCCAATTCATCCCATGCTTTGGGGGGGGATACATGTTGCATCCCACCAGCAAGAACAAGGTTCAAACATGGCTGTAGCACAAACAGGATAGGGTCCTTAGTGATTTAGTCTTTTTCTCATTACTGTGGCTCTTACTCCTTCCTACCTTCACTCCCAGCAGATGAGTCTGTTCAGCTCAGTGTTGCCAGGTCTTAAATAAGAAATTATTGTATTGGAAGCTCAAATTACCATATTTTCTGAAAGACTATCCTACAGTGAAAAAAAAGTAAGCAAAAAAGTCTTCTTCTCTTTTAAATAATATCCTGTTGCATTATGCCATTATCATCACATCCTGTCCCACTCTACTTGACACTGCCCACTATGAGGTTTTGTTTAACTCTTTCTCCAACTGGTTAAACTGAATTTATGGCTATGATTATTCTTTTCTGTTTGGTTTGTGCTTGAGGTCCGTGTATTGTATATCTTCTGCACTTTATTTTGCAACTTACTGTATTAGGTACATGCCTAGACTTTATAAACGAGGCACGCACATTTGACTTTCTATTAAGACCGTATATAGCATTTAAAATAAAGCTCGTAGTATTATCATACAATGAGATTTAGTTATGTGATCGTTATACAGTTGTTTTATATTGCTCACTGTAAGTCTCTAGTTAAAGATACGTGGCAAATATTACTCACCCTCACTTTAATCCCTGTCAAATTCCAATTCCATGCGAGTGAGAGCTGGTGTGAGACCACGTAATCAAGTAATCTAGTTCAGTTCTGATTGTTGGTGGAATGACTTATGCGTTTGTTTTTCTCCCAAACTGAATTACGTAAAAACATTACTGTACATTTTGAACACTTTTAATATAGTCTAGCATACATCGCGCAAGGGTTGAAATTATTGTACAAATACGATATTTATCGTATACCTGGCAACACTGGTTCAGCTTTGCAGCATTCAGAAGTGTTGTGGGATTGACATGCAGTGGCTCAAGTGCTGAAGGAAGAGTGCTTCTCTCTGTCTGTCTGGCTGTTGTGTAAGTGGAAGGTAAACCAGGAATTATCATCAGATTTTTTTTTCCCCCTGGGAAGAACTCACAAAATATTTTAAAACAAATATCTGCTGCAAATGGGAAATCTTTCCAAAAAAAAAATCATTTGTCAAAGTTGGGGCTATTAGATGATTAACATGAAAGCTGAATCATTAACCACTACATATAGGCTGGTCAAATAAACTGTTTCAGCTCATAACAAGAAATAATTCCTAGGTATTTGTCTCAATAACCTGGCATATGCATTCTTCAAGTCCAAACTCACTAGGAAGTGAATTATTAATTTATACCACCAGATAGAGAAGAGGTGATATTAAGCAACTATTTATCTGTTAAAATCAAGGAAAAAGTCAGCACAATGCATCATTTTTCTCACACACACACACCAATGTTCCCTCTAAGTAGTGGTCCATGAGTGTGCCACCTCGGTCTGGTGTGGGACACTTATCAAAAGGGACTGGGGGCCAGAGGCTGGGGCCTGGAGGCTGAGGGCTGGATCCAAAAGGCTGGGGGCCGGAGGCTGGGGCCAGGGGCCAGAGGCTAGAGCTGGGGGCTAGAGGCTGAGGCCAGGGGCTGGAGCCAAGAGGCTGGGGCTGGGGGCCGGGGGCTGGAGCCAAGAGGCTGGGGCTGGAGCTGGGGTCTAGGGCTGGAGGCTGGGGCCAAGAGGCTGGGGGCTGGGACCAGGAGCTTGAGCAGAGAGGCTGGAGCTGGGACCAGCAGGGAAGGGGAAAAAGGCTGAATGGCTTGTCTCCCAGCTTCCATCCAGCCCTCTGGCCACTGCCAAAGGGAACGGAGAGGTTGCTCTAGCACCCCACAGCTTCTGGCCTGGGCTACTGCAGGCATGAGACTGCATTTCTGGAATCAAGAGTGAATGTCTATCACTTGCAAATCGGTTCAATCTACACAGTTTAAACTAACCTGCAAAGACTAACTTGATTCAGGCTTGGGCTTTTTGAATATCTGTACTTAGCTAAGTGATTTAGAAACTACACATCCTACTAATTCATAATGCGACTTGAGGCCCTTAATCATTTCAGAGGTTTTGTAAATCCCATCCTAATAATCTACACTGTTCATACTGTGAATATATGGATTTGGTAATCAGGTAAATTCCAGAATATATCCTTCAAATCTGATTTTCAGATACTGCTGACAAATGATTAACAGAATGTTCTACTTTTTAATAAATTAGTTTGATACTATGATGTCATTCATGGAAGTGGAGGAACTGCCCTTGGAAGATACTTGTCTATATTTGTAAATAGAAAATTTAAAATTATTACCTTCTACACTACAGAATGTGGCAGAGAGCAACAACAAAAATGATAGGTCTAGGGAAAAAAATGATACCCGTGGAAAAGTTGGAAGAATTTGGCTTATTTATTCTTAAGAAGACAAGACTGAAGGAGATTTGATAATAGTCTTTAAATATGCAAAAGGCTGTAATAAAAAGGATGGTGATCAATTGTACACTATGCCCATAGGGGACAGGGCAAGAGGTAAACTGCAAAGAAGGACATTAGGTTAGACGGGTGGTGCTCAACCTTTGGCTCTGTGTACTAGATGAGTGGTGTGGGGCTGATCTGAAAGCTGCCTAGAGCCCTGCACATCAGGATCAGGTTGCAGGACCCAGCACTGCCCTCTCCCACCCTGTGGGCCAGCATCAGGTCCCTGGGGCCCACACCACTCCCTCCCAGATCCCAACACTGGAACTGGGCCATGGGGCCTGCCGTTACCCCTGAATGCATACTGGGATCAGGTTCTGAGACCCAGTGCTATCCCACTGCCAAATTTCTGGACCTTTGGGAGCTCCATGGGCTGCATGAAATGGCACCATGGGCTGGATCTGGACCACAGGCTGGGGGTTGAGCACACGTGGGTTACACAGTAGGAAGAACTTTTTATGAGGACCATTAAGTGCTTTAATTCAGTTGTGTACAGCAGTGGTCTCCAAAGTGGGGTGTGCGCAAAGACGATCCATTGGGGTGCGGGAACAAAATATTAGAACTTCTATTTATATTTATTTTTTATCTAAAAAAATAAGAAAGAAATTAAGCTTTACTAATATTTAATATATGGATTGATACTGGCACCCTCACTCGGTCCATATGTCAGATGGTCATGTGTCACGTACGGTATGCAAGTAGTACATGTATATAATTTATAAATAAATAAATATACATATATTGGGGGTGCGTGCTCAAAATATTTTTACTAATAGGGGTGCACGATCAAAAAAGTTTGGAGACCGCTGGTCTAGAGAAACTGTGATATGTCTATCACTGGACATTTTTAAGTGCAAGTTAGACAAGGATTTGTCCAGGATGGTTTAGATTTAGGTCACATACAGGCCTTACATTTCTACCAGGAGAACTGCCACACCCCCAGTAGAAACTACAAGCATACAAGCGTTTCTTCAACTTCACCAGGAGAAACATGCAGGTGTCAACCTGGAAGATTTGCCTTGCAAGAGAAACTCTCACAAGAGTGAGCACTTGTTTGTTCCCCTGCTGGTCTTGCCCAGGAAGGGAGAGGAGTAGCAGCTACTGCTGCTTCCTACTAGGACTGCCCTGGTGGGGCAACAGGTTGGGGGTTTTGCCCCGCTGCTTCTTCCCCTGCCTTCTCTGTCACTCCCCTGTTTGGGGAAGAGGTGGGGGTCTTTGCAATGAGGTTTTCTATACTCTGCTCCCAGGTACTGCAGGCGCTGGTGTTTCCACAAGGCACGCAGGGGGAGCTCGCTCACTTTCAGAGTGATTTGCTTGCAGAGGGGCTGTTCACCTCTGGCTTCCCAGAATGAGTGTTCCTTGTCTGGGAAGTGTATGGAGGTCTTTGTCCCATTACTCCAGACCCTCAGGTCCAGGAAGGGTGGAGCAGCTCCTGCTCTCCATGCCTTCCCCAGAACAATCCCCAGTGTGGGAAAGAAGCAGAGACCAGGGTGAGGGGGCATATCTGCAGGCTGAACACATGTACTGCTTCCTTTCCTAGAATTATTTCTACCAGTGGAAATTTCTCAAAAATTTCCTCTGCTAGAATGAAGACCTGTTTGAGGCTAGTGATGATTGTTCCTTGGATTAGATGATCTCTTAAAGTCCCTTCCATCCCTGTTTTTCTTCAGTCTTATGAAAAGTTTTCAAATAGGTAATAAAGAAACCATCGCCATCTCAAACTTTATGGTACTTCCTTGGCTGTAGCAGACAATGCTCACTATTAAGTGCTACTTATGCGCCTTTTCCCCAGATTTCCATTCCATTTTCTATCACCTTGACTAGTGTTTTGACTTTGCTCATCCATTTTCTCCTTTCTATCATTCTCTTTCCTATGGCACTTATTGGAGTCCACCCCCGCCCCCCTTCCCTGCTCAGCATGCACAATATAAGATCAAAAATATAAATGCTATTCTGGGTCAGACCACAGAGCTATCTAGCCCAATAGTCTCCCTCTCAGTGGCAGAGTGGAGGGAAAGGAGAAGAGCTTCCATGCAAGGCCTATCCAAGCTGATGTGTGCCCTGCCCTTCTTCCCTTACAGCTTCTAATATTCTATCGTTTATGTTCTTCCACAATATTCTTCTCTGCCATAATCAGCTGAAGTCAGCCATTAAGAATCTACTTGTAGAATCTACAAGGCTAAGATTTTCAAATGGTTATTAATGAAGAGAGGTGCTCAGTTCCCTTCAGTACCCATGAAAAATCCAACACTAGTTCAACTCTACCGCAATACACAAGCAATCAAAAGACTTGGTCAATGAACCAATCTGCTATTGAGCTGGAAAGCCTACTTACCCACCAGGAAGTCAATACCATACATGGCAGACCTTATGGTACAATGCTGGCAGTCTTTGTATAGAGAGAGAGACAACAAAAACATGGGCTCTTGTTCTTGCTGCTGGAGCTATGTCTTGTCCTGGAGCTATGACAGCTCATTTGGCTACACAAGAAATGTCACTGGATTCCAGTGGCAGCCACTGAAAACTCCAAGGGTAAAAAACAGAAAATATGCCTAACAAGTGAGAGAGAAGAATCAGGACTACAGCTTGTACCAGGCATTGGGCTACTTTAGGCAGACAAAAGGGGATATCTACACCATCTACACTACGGTGTAGATGCCAGGACAGCTCCAAACATGCCTTGCCCACCTGCTCCCACATGCACACATCAAAAACCCAGACAGATGCTGATAAAGATGCTCCAGGGGATCCTTTTGCAGCTACTTTTGAGAAGAGCCCCTAGAGATGACTGGGGTGGTGTCTACCTGAGCATATATGGGTTTGGATCACGCATGCAGGAGTGGGTGACTCAGCCAGCTGGACACACTTCTGCTGCGGTGTATACATGGCCAGAATGCTCAGGGCATATTTATTTCTCCATGAGCATGATGTGTTGCATAAGGTGCTTTGGATGAAAATTGCTCTCTCTCTCTATGTGGAAGCTCCACAGACAGAAAGCTGAGAAGAAGACTGATCAGTTCAATTTAGTAGGGGTACCTTTCCATTTGACTTAATTTGTCTTTCAGATAATTAAGAACAATAATTAAAAAGAACAAAAACTGAACTAATAAGAGCAACCATATCTATGCTCCAGGTTACACAGTTGATGCATTTTGGTAGAGTGTCAAAAGCAGACCAAAGTAAATGCCTAATATTATTGTGCTTGCGAATAAGTAAAAGTTCTTTTGCTGTTTCATGGTACAACGGATGGATTGAAGCTTTTCTAAGAGCACTATTTAAAAGAGGTTAAGTTTACCAGTGACCATAAATTTCTAGGAACATAAACTTCTAATTATTCACAATTAGTGGTTTGATATTAATTAGCTCCACACTTCCACAATTCTTCTTAGACATCATTTAATTTTTGGAATTAGTAACTAATTAATAGCAATCTTCCAAAAACAAATAAAGAAGTCCATGCTGCATTGTCTTGGATCCGCTGTGGAAAAATAGCATCTCCATGATGTTTTTAGAAAAATACATTTTAGAGAACAAATCTTGCCTACGGTTAGTTGATAAAATTTGTTTGGCAGAACAAATCTGGAACAACATAGATCTTTGAATGTTATGGCATATTTGATTTATCCTTTTGCCTAAGCAACTTTCTAGAGTCCTTTTCTTTACTGTGATGAACTTGCTGCTCAACAGGATTTCAAGGATGTTAGATGAACTGAGATTATTTCTTTTAACCTAGCTTTAACAGCTATATAACAGGCAAAACCTACTACAAGTATTACAATACTTACAATAAAGCATAATGTAAAAAGAAGCCAGCATAGAAATGTTGATCTGTAATGTAATGACACAGTTAAACAGTATTTCTAATCTGGATTTTTAAAAATTCTTTATCCATTCTAGAAAGCACATAAAACCCTTACACATTCTCACGGTGCGCCCTGTAATCTCTCTAATACTGAGGCAGACTAATGTGTTTCAAGTATTTTATGCTGGGAACAAATCTTTGTCACTCAGTATTCCACTTGCAAAAATAAACCCAGAAAGCAAATGCTCAGAAATCCAGCCAGTAGTCTCTCTCGTCTACACATTTCATATAAGTAAATACTTACCGACAGTTTCCTACATAGCCATTTAATTACACTAATTTCCTTTCCCCGAGTCCGTCCGAGTCAGAAGTGGAATGAGAGGGAGGGTGCACGAGAGACAGAGCGAGGGGAAACCAGAGAGGAAACCAGAGACTGCAAATTGAAAGCTTTCTTTGACTACAACTTACTGATGTCGCAATTCCACACTTAGGCAGCACATTCTGCTGGACCCAGACACACTGTTATTTTAACCAGGCTGCCCTCAGCAGCCATCAATTCAAAACCACTGAAACCCGGACAGAACTGTTGAGTCCCTTCAGGAGAGGAATGAAAGGACAGTCCAAGGGGTTACAACATTAGCTTATGACTTGGGAGACCTGTGATTGATTCCCTGCCCCAAAAGAAATGCCTGTTTGACCTCGGGCAAGTCACTGAGCCATTCTGTGCCTTAGTCTCCTCATCTGTAAAATGGTGACAATATGCTTTTCTTTTGACACTGAGCTATTGCTGAGATAACTGTATCTAACCACACAAAGTGCTATGGTAGCGTAGTAATGAGTCTACATCCTGACCACAGAAAATGAAGGCAGCCACAAACCTACAAGAAGCTACTTCTTATTACAGATCATTTTAAAAATCAGCATGAAAGCAATTTATTTTTTAGAAGAATGTCTTTCAAAATACTGCTGGTAAAATTCATCCCTAGTAACTTCACTAAATTCATCGGAGTTCCACCAGGAATTACATTTAGCCCATTATGTTTAACTAACCGATTGCCCATCAAGAATGACAGGCGTGGGGGAGGAGGAAGAGAGTGGAGACAGAGCCCCAGGCCCTGCCCTGTCCAGGCCCACTCCCCCTTCCCTCCTGCTGCTTGGGGTCTGGGCCCGCTCTCCACCTCCATGCTGTGGGGAAGGGAGGAGCAGGCCCAGGCCCTTTGTGGGGGAGGACCGGGCCTGAGGGTGGGGAGAAGCTGGGCTGCTGCAGTGGGGGAATGGGGGGCAGCAGCAGGCCCAGGCTGACCCAGTGGAGGCTGGGACATGGGAAGAGCGGGCTCGGGTCCAATGCGGGGGAGGAGTGGGTCCAGGCCCGATAAGGGGAGGAGGCTCGCTCCTCCCCTCCCCCTGCAGCTGCTATGTTGGGCTGGTCTGGACCAGGCAGGGCCTGCTATCCCCCGCACATGGCCGTGATGGGCCGGCTTTTCCCCTGCCTCAGGCTCATTCCCCCCATGTCAGGCCCAGGCCAGTCCTCCCCTGGCCGCACCATCACCACCGATGCCATGGCACACCCGCTCCTCCCCCCCAACACCAGACCCACTGGGGGACAGGAGGAGTGGGCTCAGGGCCGACGCAGGGGAGTGGGGTGGGGGAGTAGTGGGCTGGGCCCGAGGTGGCGAGGAGGCCTGCTCCTTCCCTCCCCCAGCCGCTGCCACATCAGACCGTGCTTGCTGCTCCTCCCCACCCAATGGCGGGCGGGTTTTTCCCCTGCTCGGGCCCACTCCCCACCACACACATTGGGCCTGGACCCACTCCCCTCCCCACGCATTAGGCCTGGGCCTACTCCCCTCCCCATGTCAACTGCAGGGAGCGGGCTGGCCTCGCCCCGACCCCGCTCCATCCCCCGTGTCCCCACCACCATGGCAGCAGGCATTCTTCGTGCTCTGCTTGGCTGTTTGTGAATAAAGCGTTACAGACAGACAGATTTAGGCTTTTATAATATTAGAATAATTCAGGGTACTTCACAGAGCCCCTCACTTGTAAAGGATTTCTCTGCAGATTGCACGGGCCTTATTTTAGTTCCCAGTTTTAGCAAGTAGGCTAATATATGCTTACGGTCTTTCTATATAAACAATACTCGGATACAAGTATTTGTGCTTATATATGTAGTGATGGTCTTTAGGGGTGTGCAAAGTGAATCCTATTTGATTCGGATTTGGCCCGAATCGGGGACAGTGATTCAATTTGTTGATTTGGATCGCTGTCCCTGATTCGGTTTGGCCAAATCCGAATCTGAAAATTCAACACTGATACAGAGAATCAGTGATTTGGACATAGACACAGCTTTAAGTGTTTTTTCTACATACCTCCAGGTACCAGTGCGGCTCATGAACACTGCAATGCTGGGGTGGATGGAGAATCCCACAGGAGCGCAGCCCCCCGCCCCGAGTGCTTAGCAGCAAACCTAGAAGTGGAACTTGGAGGTGGACCGAAAGATGGGCAGACAAGGCTTTGCCTATTTCCCTGGGCCTCTGATCCTAACTTGGCTTCAGCCCCTCCCTGGGTTTCAGTCCCTCAGCCTAGGCTTTAGCCCTCTCAGCCTTAGTCTGTCTTTCCCTTGGCCCTGACTTGGTTGGAGCCCCTCCCAGCCTCCAACCCCATTACCCAGACTCAGCCCTCTTAGCTTTGGCCCATCTTAGCATCTGCCCTTCCCAGGCTTCTTCCCCACAGTTTATGCTTTGGCCCTCTTGGCCTCAGTCCTGTTGTGTCCCTGCCTCATGTAGTGCTTGAAACAGAGAGTGCCCCCCAGGCTTGATTCTTGATCATGCAACCAATTGTGCACCCATAGGGGGTAGCGTCATCAAGACCATATTGCCTTGGGTTACTTGTGAGAATGTTATGAGCATCAGCTGCCTTACTCACATTGAGGTATATCACATCCACTATTCTGCCCCACCCACAAGGCCCATTGTCTCATTAGAGAAAGAAATCAGGTTGATCAGGCATGGTTTATTCTTGACAAATCCAGGTTGACTGTTCTTTATCACTTTGTTATGGCAGCATAACCAGGGCCAGGTGTGGGAACTATTTTTTACTATTGCTGTGCTTGCTTCTCTCTTCAGCCCTGAAGAAGAATGTCTTGCATTTGAAAGCTTGTCTAATTCTATCCCAACTATGCAGTTGGTCCAATAAAAAGTATCATCCAAAGAAATCTTGGATCTTGCATAATTCCTGGACAATCCTGGCTACATCACTCTAACAATATCATATATTTAATACATAATTTAATGGCTATATATGCACACTCAAAATCTTTGTAAAAAAATTAAAATAGGAATAAATTCCTATCAAGAGAGACTACGTGTATTAAAAAGGCCGCATGTGGGCTTCCAAGAATGCAGCAACATCTGAGGAGTGAGAACATCCCTGAATGTTTAATCTGAAACATCAGATTAGGAAGTGGTAAATCAAGGACCCACAAGAAATACAGCTTCTTTGCAGCTGTTATTTTAGAAGAAGAATGAGCAAATAAATGTAAAGTGCATTGGGTAGGTTCTATGTGGTGTCTATATACCTAAGAATTATTTTATAGCAGCAAATTGAAGCCAGAGGGAAACTGGGCTGGAGAACAGAATAGACTGAGCTGGGGTTGTTTTCTCAGATTCCAGTGTCCTTCCCTATAGGCCTGTGCGGTGGGATGTGAGCTAGATCACAAACACATGGGTTGGATTCTTGCTTGTAAGCAATTTGAGAAAAGATGCTGTTAAAGGAAGGTTTTTAATGTACTGTGCAACCAGGCAATGCCTTATTACCAAACTACTGAGTTTCCTTTACAGATTTAGATCATTGCTCAAACTCAACCCAAACCCAAATTCAAACACCTCACTCTCTGGAAAGCTTTGGAATGAAAAAGTGGATCTGGGTCAGGCCATCGCCACTGTCACCTAGCTCTGCAATGAATCAAATCGCTAATAATTCTTTCTACAGTCTTTGAAGAATTTTTGCGAGCATCCTTCCTACCCCAGAGCCGTGGTTACCTAGAGTGACTGGCAAATCTACTCACTTTTCAGACCTTCCATTCTCAACAATAATCCTTTTCACTTACATGGCATCTGGCATCATGAGTTTTACAAACAGGGTAAGGCCAGTTGTATATTAAGAGACTTGATGCTATTCATATTTATATTCTGGTCCTGGTAGGTGTTACATTTATCACATGATTGACATATTAATCCCATGATAAATTGAAACATGTCACATATTCAGTCACTTCACTGTATGATAAAATGGCGAACAAACCACAAAGATGTTCCACATTTAATGTAGAATATCTTTATGGCTGGTTTGTGTCACATTTCAATTTGCACATGTAGCTCATAGCTTGGCTTTAGGCTGCATGGCATGGCTTTAAAACTTCCTGCAGAAAGGCCATTGAAGCCACTTGCGCAGCACAATGCTGGAATTACAGGTCTGCTATGCAGGCAACCAAGGCTTGGGGAGTTTCCTGATCCCTACGTGCCTAAGCCCTGGGGTGCATGCAGCCAGCTGCCTGCTCCTGCAAACATGTGATGGGGTCTGAGGAGCTTTATGTTCAATCCCAACAATTGTGTATCCTACCATGCCAGACCTTAAATGTCTGGCATGGCAGAACAAGTGATTGTAGGGATCCAATTTCTCAGATCCCATTGACCTATTAAATTAGCATTTGTCAGGGGCCACAGAAACCTACTACCCGAGCCATAAGAGTTCAGATCTACAGCAATACTTACTCCAAATCAAGGGACTATCATGATCTAGGCCCATCTATAGTTAAAAAACGAATTCCCAGAACTTCCGAGGTTCACAGTTAGTTCAATGATAAACATGGCACAGACACTCAGGAAGACACTCTGGGTAGATTAGCTTGTGTTTAGGATGTTTCAATTTTACACAGCTGTTGGGAATATCACACATTTCCTCTGTTCACCTCACCTCCATAGGTTATCAGCCAATCCATAACAGATCAAATTTGCAGTTTGGGGATCTGAGTTGAACATGTGAATAAGGAACCTTGTTGAAAGATTTGGAAGTCCTTTGCTTAGTATGCTATCAAAGTCTTCACTGCTAAAAGCCTCACTGACCCCCTGTAATCTTAAAATAAGTTAGTTCAACCTGGTAATTGCATGAAAGAAGTCTTACTTGCACAACGCTCCAAATGTTAGCCAATGCTCTTACTTTCAATCTTAAAGCTTACAGACCATAAACCAAATAAATTGCTTAAATAATGGCAGTAATTAGTACTTTAATGACACTTTCCATCTGAGTATCTTAAAAGACTTTTACGGACATTGATGAATTGACACTGGCAGCTGGTCTGGGAGATGGTTCAGAGATTGAGGGTCTCGTATAAGACTGAAGAAAAGTGTGTTC